TCTCTCTCTCTCTCTCTCTCTTCCTCTCTCTCTCTCAAGAACTGAAAGAAACCTACTGTTCTGTTACTATCGCTTATAATCGTATGTATCCTGTGACTCGGTGTATATCATATCTGAAACAAAAGCGAAGACAGATGGGCATTACTATAGTGCCCTCTTTCTCTCCATATCTCTCTCTCTCCCCCCCCCTCTCTCTCTCACTCTCTCTCTCTCTCTTTCTCTCTCTCTGAAGGAAACCTACTGTTCTGTTACTATCGCTTGTAATCGTATGCACCCTGTGGCATTACTATAGTGCTCTCTTTCTCTCCATCTCTCTCTCTCTCTCTCTCTCTCTCTCTCTCTCTCTCTCCCAACCTCTCTCCCTACCTCCCCCACCCCCTCCCTTTCTGTCGCTTTCTTTACACTAATTAGTTTACTCATTTTCTTGTACTTTCTAGCTTGAATACGATCACACAATGTATACGCTTTCAAATTTTCATTACTTATTCTGCTCACAACCACGGATTGCTTTTTATTCTTTCAAATCAGATTATGGTAAGGAGGATCCAGGCTGAAAAGAAGATGTCCTCCAACGATCTCATGCAGAAAGGCCAGATAGTGACCGACCTGGGCGGCAGATCACCCCGCCGGACCGTCAGTTTTGGTGATGTCACGATGGGTGCCTTGTACAAAAATATTGACCGGAAGAAACTAGTTCGTCTCCATAAATGGACACAAGAGATAAACAGAAAGGTAACTTGGTGAAATAATAATAATAATAATATTTACTGTAGCGTTTTACTGGGCTTGGGACCAGATATTACTTCGATTTTGTATTGAGTGAATAGATTTTTCAGGTATGAAAACATAATTATCTAAAAGACAGGGGCGATCTGTAGAGTTGTAGTGTTGGGGTAGCATTGTTTTTGCTCATTCAGGATAAAAGCTGAAGTTGTGAGACTTGTCCATCTGTGTACATTTGTTTGTTACACATTTTCCCTTCTTTCTTGGTCGTGTCTTTCTGTTTGGTCTGTGTTTTTAGTTTCACCATAGAAATGGTCCGGAAATCTCTTAACATCAACAGAAAGATGACTATAATATATGGATAGGGGCTGTACAGAGTAGTTTTGTCAAGTGTTTTGTAACCGTTGGATGGAATCGGCAATCTAATTGTATGGATTTCGAAAAAAAGTGCGCGGCTCTGACTGATATTCCGCAGCTTTGATAGTTTTTATTCTCGAAAGTGCGCTGCCTTTCAAAGATGGTAAAGATGTCGAAATTAGTGGCGGGGATGAAATTGAGGATGCTGGGGACAACATTGACAATGGCGTTGGTGTAATTGTTATTTTGCTGCTTCTTCATTCTGCTGTTGCTGTTGCTGCTGCTGCTGCTGCTGCTACTGATGATGATGATGATGATGATGAGGAGGAGGAGGAGGAGGAGGAGGAGGAGGAGGATAACACAGTTGGATAACACAGTTTTTCTGCTGTTGTAATTTTGAGTACTAGATTCCAAATTGGTAATTTTAAAGGCAGGGGAGACCGAGAGGTATACGAGGAAAAGGTAGCCTAGTAAAAAAGAAAGGATAGCGCTGGAGGAATTTGGACTGACCCAGATCTGATCTCGTACCTCCGGTTTTTTCCCAAGTGCTCAACGAACCGCGACACAATTCTCTCTCCCCCCCCCTCCTCCCTCTCTCTCTCTTTCTT